CTCCCATTCTTTGTGGGGTGTGTGGGAAAAGCAGCCAGTCTAGGATGCTGGGGCCACCAGAAGGTGATTGTGAAAAACTTCTCTTACCTAGATGATTGATGTGCCCTGGAAAGGTAGTGAGAGTTCCTTGTGGGGAGGGTGGAGCTCAGTGGTAGATTGCATGCTTACCAAGCACAAGGTCCTGGGTTCAATCCCCAGTACCTCCATTAAATAAATAAGTAAATAAACCTAATCCCCACCACCACCTCCCCCCAAAAAACAAACATTAAAAAAATGGCCATAGGAAAAGAATTAAAAAAAAAAGTTCTTCGATGTTAGGGAAATCATTTTTCCAGCCTTAGTGTCTAGCCATGGGTATGTCCCACAGGAGGGATTCAGTAAAATGATCGAGTGGATACATGAGCACCTGAATATCTCATTATCTTTGAGGTCTGTTCTGTCTTATAGATGGTGTGGTTAAACCTACCTGCCTCCACTTTATTGAGAATAGGGAAGTTGTCAGGGCAACTTAATGAAAATGTCAACAAGGGCAAGTATTCAGTTTAAAGCAGTCTTCTGTGTCTCTGTCTCTAAGGTAGAAAGGTTCGAGTTTTTCTTCTCAGGATGCTTTGTTTTTCCGTATGCATGATGGACAACAGCACAAAAGCATTCAAATGTGCATTCTTTTCACACTAGCAAATGACAGTGGTAATCATAGATGCCATCCACCACCTTGCTGCTCAGACAGTCTGTGTATCAGCAGCAAGGCTAAGACCTGTGATCCTGTCAGAAATGCCTCCTCCAAACCTCCTGAACCAGAATTTCCGTTTAGCAAAATCCTCGGTTAACTCACATGCATATGAAAGTTTTCCAAGCACAGATCTGCAGTCAGCTCGTTAAGGATGCTGGACCTGGAAATGGGCTTCAGGAATCTGTTCATCCCTGGGGAGCTGGAGAACCAGCTGGGATAGTAGCACCATATCAGTTCAACTAAAGTAATGGGACTAATGGATTCATCTTTATTGGCCTCTTGGTCAAGTTCATAGACTAAAACCACAAGTTCCCAAACCAAGGGGAATTCAGAGGGGAGGGGGGGGAGCAGTTAGGCAGGAAGGGAGAAACGTGAGGAACGTTGCACAATACTGCAGCCATACTTTTTTTCTGTGTCCAAAGCAGAACTTTAGTTTTTTAGCAAGCAAATTGCTGCCTGTCCTGTCTATCAAATCAAAGTAACTTGTCAAACACAAGAAACATAAGAGTAAACTTCAGTATCTTTTTTTTTCTTTTTATTATTCTGTTTCCCCTCCTTAAGATCATTGGTTTTCCATTTGTCTAAAACACACGTAGTTAAGATACATTTTACACTGGCAACTTGGCGATTGCTGAGACCATGTTAGCATCCGGATGTCCCATTTCAGTTGAGGAAAAGAGAAGGTTGAGGTTGGAGTCCCTAAATTCTTGGTCCCAGCATTCATGAAGCACCTTGGACTTTAAGAGAGACTGACAGTGACAGAAATGTTTGTCATTATGTCTTCTCAGAACAGATGGTGTTTGTCAGCATTAAATAGAGTGGTTGGCAGAATGATGCACCAGCCCCCTGACTTCAGCCCCAGGAGAAGATGTCCTTATCCAGAGACCTGTGACCGGGTTATGTTACCTGGCATGTGGCACGGGGGCGTTCAGGCTGCACACAGAAGCAGGGTTGTAAGCAACTGACCTTGAGATGACCATGATCCCAGGTTACCTGTGTGGCCCAGTGTGATATCACAAGGGTCCTAATAAGTGGAAGATGCAGGTGAGAGAGTCAAGGTCAGAGTCAGAGACAGTCAG